GAGCTATAAGTGGTTACCTGGATCTGCTTGGATGACTATGTAGTCATGGTATAACTAAGTGTTAAATGAAGTTGAGACCGGATGGAGACTTACAGAGTTTTGGACTGTAGTGCTTTCCATCTGTGTCGATTAAGGACCGACCGTTGTTGGGCCTCGAGTCATGTTGAACGCATGCCTTACATTTAGCTGGCCGGATAAAGTACCTTCCGACCGCGAAGCTGGGAGATTATTCGGGCCGAGTAGATTGCCCACAGCGCACTGTGCCGGAGCAGGTGTGGTAGGACACGGGGGCGAGATGATAAGACCAAAGTGCAGTCGGTCGGCCCCCGGGTAGATGTGGTTCCTAGCAAACTCGAGACTCCTGGATAGTTGACTCGGTGATCAATACCTCACTTTAGCGGGTGAGTGAGGTTTGTGTAAGGAATAAATCACCAGCTGGTTAGGAATCGATTCGAATCGCCATCGCTCCTGGATAGTGAGCACTTGACTTGAGTTACTTCATCGTAGTAATGTTAATGGAACACTTGGACAGTTATAATGCATATGACAATATGGAAGTGGTTAATGATCATTGGTTATCATTATTGGCTTAATCACATGTTTGCTCTAGTATAGGTGCAAATCTAGTCGGCAGGTTATAATTAATTAACTTGGCAATAATGTCTTTAGAAAGGTTTTTGAAATGCTAAAAATGTTTTCTTTGTAAATGAGTCAGCTACCCTACTATAAAGCCCTTCATAATCCTTGGTGTCATTTATTTTCGGTTATGTCGGGTAAGTCTAGCTGAGTACCTTCTCGTACTCAGAGTTTTATTCCCACTTGTTGTAGATGGGCAGATGTATTACGGTTACTGTATCAACTGCCTTTATCCTGTGATGGGTGATGCTTAGGACCATAGGCATGGTCATTTCTTACGTCTCGTCTAATGCTTTTGTTGGAGATGACCATCAGCTGGCACTGTATTTGAACTCCGTGTGAGTGTGTGTGATTTTAAACAAATGGCTTCCGTTACTTTTATTCGAACTCGTTTTGTAATAACTATGTTTAAACTCTGATGTATCTGTGATGCGAACTTTTATGTAATATGTGATGGTGACCGCTAAACTTATTACGATCGTGGCTGGGATGTGAGTTGGTTTGAAATCCTTCGTGATTTCACGGACTACCGGGTTATACGGGCTTAAGTTTGCTAAATCGTCTGCTCTGGCGGATGATTTTCTTACTTAATTTCGTATAATTGGTCGGTTCTGTTACATAACTTTAGCGCCTGGCCCTGCTGTGGCTACGGTGCGACAGGGGAGCCTTTCGGTGTCTACCCCTGCCGTGGCTACAGTGCAGCAGCAGGAGAACCCTTTCGGTGTCTGCCCCTGTCGCAAATACAAAGTGAGAACAGCAGATTACTTTACAGTGGAACGATCTACCTGTGCTGGATTTCTGTTTTGAAATCAAATTTGGTTCTTCGTGATGATCTCGCTTCCAGAATGTATTGGATTTCCGTTTTGAAATCAAATTTGGTTCTTCGTGATGATCTCGCTTCCAGAATGTATCGTGTGGGCATGATTCATCCATAGGGGTTATCTTTGACAGCTGACAAGGCACCGGGTCCAGTCAACTTGTATGCATCTTTACCTTGGACAAGAATAGTCTATCTGTACAATGCCGCGCTTCGCAGGATTCTTGCGAACTGTGAATACTGCTGGAATTGGAAAAGTATCTAGTAAAACAATTAGATTTATTTATGAAGGGTAAAGTAGATTTTTATTTGGCAGAAATTAGTGATCATAGTTTAGAGTAGAAGTTTTAGAAAGCCTAATTCCCTCTTCCTCCTAGACGTCATGGTCCTCTTCATACCATTCACAAGAATCCGTAACTACATAAAAACTATATCGAAAAACCTATAATAAAAAGTTGTGGGATAAATTTTGTCCCACAAAATATTATGCACACAAGTTGCGAGTATAACTCTAACTTTTTAAAAATGGAAAATTGCATAAATACTTTTTTCCAAAAGATTAAAGTTGTGGAGGTTGTCCGATTGGTTCAATGGTATTAAATGTAGCTAAGGACCTGTCTGGCTCCTGCCGCAGCACGCCGCACCACAGCTCCAGCATCTTCGAAAGTTTGGTGGTCGAAACGACCGCTAGACTCTTAGCGAGAGTGGGCGCAGCGGCAGACCGGAAACCACGCCACACCTTTGATACCCCAACGGGCGGCGGCAACCAAACGCTGCAGTGTGTGTCGTAGTCCAAGTGCGTCGGGTGCGACTAACAGGCCCTAATATTCGCTGATTAGTTGAGTCGCATCTAGCATCTCCTTGATTCTCGAAGGTCTCACCTTATGAGCATCGCCACCATTGCGATTCAACCTGTTTTCTTGCAAGACGGGCTAAGTAATTACCTCAAATGGATGCACCAGGATTTGGCCTCATCACGGGCCATTCAAAAGCATGTGCCAGTTGATGATGGGGATTGGGGGAGTTGCTGTCTCGGAGTTTAGACTCTAAGAGCCTGTGTAGGACAGCTTCAAGTCTAGAGGATCTTTATTTTTTTGTGTCTCAATTCTTGAAGTATAAGCTATAGTATCTGAACCCACACACCAACTCACACCATCACAACACACGGTGACTCACACATACTCTAGTACGTAATCTAGACCTACACCAATACGAAGAGACTGCACGTGGTTGAGAGGTATCCGAAGTCCCACGTGGCTGAGAGGTAAGTCATCTATGGCTTCGCACATGTTCCCCTGGCCATTGTGGCGCATCCACATGTGAGGCTGCAAATATTGGGGAAAACCCCAGTAGGAATCATGCGCAGAGCTATGACTCGTTCCTAACTCTAACTTGGATCTGGATCCTACTAGTAGTGATGAAAAAAGTCCACATTACCTTTCTCAACTTTTGTGAAAGTCTGTTTTTTCTCCCTAAACTCTAAAACTAGGTAAACCACCTTCCTAAACTTTTGAAACCGTTCGTTTTACCTCCCTAACCAGTTATAGGCGGTTTTAAAAGGTTGTTTTGTCTTTTTCTTTTGTATTTATTTTTGCTGAATCTTTAAATAATCATAGTAAATCACAAAAAAACATAAAATAAAAAAAATTATTGGACTTCACGTGAGAAGATCTACACAATGAACATATAATATGGTATGCTTTAATACATTTTTTTGTTGTAGCTTTAGATCTATGTTTTTCTGTAATTAATTCATAGTTGCAGTTTCTATGGTCTAATTGTGGTGAAATTTTTATGATTGGTTAATTATTGTATGCTTGAACTGTAGTAAAAATTTCATACTCATTGGATCATGTATAACTTAGTTATAGATTTATAAATATTTTTTAACAAGCATACACCTAAATAAATTTATAACTAAGTTATATATGATCCAATGAGTATGAATTTTTTACTACTATTCAAGCATACAATAATTAGTCCACCATAAAATTTCACCATAATTGGACTATATAAACTGGAGTTATGAATTAATTATAGAAAAGCATATATTTAAAGCTACAGCAAAAAAAATTTATACTAAACCATATCATATTATATGTTGACTGTGTAGATCTACTCATGTAAAGTCCAAAAAATTAAAATTTTCATTTTATGATTTTTTTGTGATTTACTATAATTTTTTAAAGATTCAGCCGAAATAAATAAAAAAGAAAAAAGACAAAACCGTCTTTGAAAACCACTTATAACCGGTAAAACGAACGGTTTTAAAAGTTCATGTAGGTGGTTTACCTAATTTTAGAGTTTAGGGAGAAAAAGTAGACTTTCGCAAAAGTTGAGAGAGAGGTAACGTGGACTTTTTTTCATGAAAAAACTGTTTGGGACAGCTTCACGGTGAATCTCGTGGACCGGCCCAACAGCTTGCTAAGTGCGGCCCAACAGCAGCCTATCATAGGAAGCTCCACCTCCCCTTTGTCTCACTGACGCACTGGACCCCGCATGTCACGCTTTTCTTCTTCCCAGAACTTGACCACGGTGCTGACCACGATGAGGGGCGGACGAGGATGTGCGCGCGGGCAGCCTGGCCGGTGCAGCCGTGCGCGCGAACGGCGGTGTAGGGCGCGGCTGTGCGCGCGGGTGGGCGGCACGCTCGTGGGGGTGGGGCGGGGCCGTTGGCCATGGAAATCCCTTCCCCGAAACCCGAAATCCTAACATCAAATTCCTTACCACTGTCGCGTCGTCCAACGCCCCACCGGTAACCTCGCCATCGGCCACTCAGCCAAACATCCACCCCTTCCCCCTAATTCCAACGGCATTGTCACATGTGTGTCGCCTCAGGTAGCGATGCACACGCACCAAATAAAGATTGTGATTTCAGCAGGCTACTCACCTGATTTGCCATCTTTCTACCAATTACATTTTTTGCATGACCGTGTGCTTAGGACATGTATTTCATTAAGATTGTATAAAGTTCAGTGCAGGCTGAACGCCTGAACCGACGATAATTTGCCATTACAGGTAACCCCTCCTGACCGCCTAAAAAAAGACAATTTGAGCTAGTTACACAAGATCTCCACAGAAGCATGGCTTTGTCTCATTTAATCGCTGCGATATATGACGATTGCATGCAAGTTAATGGCTGTTTCTCTCATGCTCATTCTTTCTCTTGGTAACCGAAGCGTGCAAGCAAGGGCAACTTGCAAGAGGGATAGCACACATCGATAGGCCTCGTTTTCTATTGCTGTTGCTTTATTAAAGCCCTTGCATTCTTCTTGGACATGAGCATCGATGATATCTAGCACCTGATCTGGAAAATTTCTCTCCACAAAGCTGATAATGCTGAGTTCACCTTCAAACATAGGATCAGTTGGTCTTTTTTCCTATTAGCATCTCCAGAAGTATTACTCCAAAACTATAAACATCCCCATAGGTAGTTGCATGAACAGTTTGAGCATACTCTACAAAATTAGAGGAAAACAATTATTGTGTGCACAACAGATTGATTTATACAAGTACATGATGAGATGACAACATTCTAGATTTATACCTGGAGCTATATACCCTATGGTTCCCGTCACTGCAAGTGAACTATTACAATCTGAATGTCCAGCTGCTATTGACCTGGAATCAACAACGAGACTTGCCATGCCAAAGTCCCCCAAATGAGCATTCATGTCATCATCAAGAAGGATATTAGTTGGTTTCAAATCACAATGAACAATAGGCCTTCCACAGTCATGGTGTAAATAGGCCAATGCATCTGCTACATCAACACATATGCTTATTCTTTGAGCTAATCCTAAACCTTTTGGAGCTACACCACCACGTTTCTGATGCAACCATGTATCCAAATTGCCTCTGGCCATGAACTCATAAATTAGGGCTTTGAACTCGTTACCATTATTGTCTATCATTGAACATGCAGTTAATATAGGAAGAAGGTTCCGATGCCGAATGGTTCTCAAAGCCACACATTCTGAAACAAAACTTTGGTCAGCAAATCTTATATTAAGGTCAAATTCCTTAATGGCAACTTGGATTTTTGCTTGATTTAACTTCCCTCTGTATACTGAACCGTAGCTTCCTTTTCCAATTAAGTTGGACTTCGAAACGTTCTGTGTAACTTGAGCTATATCATTATAAGACACTCTAGGGAATTTTTTACCAAAAGAAAGGAGCACTAAGTATGGCCTTCTTGGCGTTTTCTTCCCAAGGAATATAATGTAAATTGACATCCCAAGTGCCATGAAGACAAATACTAGAGTTGGTATGATGATCAAATGGTGTTTCCATTCTGTTCCCCAAGTAACTGCAGGGCACGCAGGCATATGGAGATCCACCACTCCTCCACAAAGCCCCCAATTGTCCATGAGAGAAACAGCTGTTGCATTTGCAAATACTCCATTGGTTGGTATTTCTCCTTGGAGGTAATTGTATGAAAGATCCAGCTTATTGAGAAGTGATAGATCCTTCAGAAAGATTGGAATGGTGCCAGACAGGTTATTGTGAGAAAGATTTAGTGTTTTCAAGCTCTGTAGGCCCTTAAACGATGTTGGAATGTTTCCTATGAGGTAATTTTGGTCCATTTTGAGGGTTTCTAATTGTTTGCAGTTGCCAAAAGTTTCTGGGATTTCTCCACTAATCTTGTTTGATGAAAGACGTAGGTCTGCAAGCTATTTAAGTTTGCTAATATCTATAGTTATGCCACCTTGTATACTGTTGTGACTAAGGTCCAACTGTATGAGTTGTTCAAGATTTCCAAAGTTTGGTAGTATATACCCTTGAAGGTTGTTATAGCTAAGGTTCAGCTCTTGGAGGTGCTGAAGATTTCCCAATCTGGCTGGTATGGGGCCATCAAATCCATTTCTGTATAAATAAAGGTACGTCGGCTGGGTAAGATTGCTAATAGAGGATGGGATTGGCCCAGTGAAGTTGTTCAATCCCAGACTTAATCGTGTTAGGTTTTTTAATCTTCAATCCATCCTTCAATTGCACCACTGAAATTGTTCTCACTTAATCCCAGCCAAATTAAGCCGCTAAGGTTGCCTAGGCTCCGTGGAACTTGCCCAGACAAGCTGTTTCCACCCAACAGAAGCGTTTGAAGGCTGGTGGACAGGTTACCGATTGATGATGGAAGAGATCCCTGCAGCTCATTGTAAGAGAGTGAGAGTACCCGTAGATATCTACAGTTTCTTAAATGCGCTCAAAAATTCCCAGTCCAGGTTGTTCCGTGCTACAAGCTGGTTTTCCTGAAGGTTTAGAAAAGTCAAATTTGAAAGTTTTCCCAAAGAAGTAGGAATCTGCCCTATGAAATTATTAGATGATAAATCTAGAATTTGTAACCCTAGAGCACTGTTGCCTAGTGAAGCTGGGATGGGACCTTCGAACCTGTTGTTTTGCAACGTAAGCCCTATGAGATTAGGGAGAAGTTCTCCTATGTTGGATGGCAATGCATTGCCCAGCATATTAAAGTCTAGACTTAGATACTGTAGAGAAGAAAGACGAAAGAAGGCTTCTGGGATTTCACCTGAAAGCCTATTGTCGCCTAGGATCAAGGTATTTAACTTTAACTGGCCAAGCTCACCAGGAATGGCTCCCTTGAGTTGATTTGAACCCAAATTGAGATATGCTAGATTTGATAGTAGGCCTAATTTCGAAGGAATTGAACCCACTAGCAAGTTTTAAGATAAATCTAACTGTGTCAGGTTGGAGAAGTCTGTAATAAATGCATCTGGAATGATCCAAGAAAAATTATTGTTATTCAAGGAAAGGTACTGAAAATTTTGGAGGCGACCAAGGAGAGGCAAGGGACCTACAAAGTTATTATCGGAGAGGTCAAGAACATAAAGGAAGCTAAGGTTGCCAAGAGAGGTTGAGACTCAGGACGCGGAATGGTGGCGTCGTGGTACACGTGACACCGTTCCACCGGCAGAAGTGGGAGCTCATGGTCCAATTGCTCAAGGCTCAACGTGGATCACTAGTGATGCTCTGCTTGAAATCGAGCAGTGAAAGAAGATCTTGACTGCTCTCATTCACTGTCGAGCAATGGCTGTTGGTAGCTCCATAACACAACACCAGCAACGACAACAGTATATGAAGCATGTCCACTTTCACCAGCATCTGCAAGGCATAGCATAAGCGCATAGCTTCATTCATTTGCACGAACAGTTGCAGCCAGGAGAAAGGCTAGAAGGCATCAAAAAAGGAGAAAGGCTAGAAGAGATGTTCAGCAGGTGCACTAACCTTAAATCAGGATCAGGATTTCAGGAAGGATCCCAGTACTTGTATTGGCTGGAGCGCACGATGCCTTGTAGTTGCAGCCGACCTTTTTATCTTCTCGGTCCAGCCGGGTGATGATGCATATGAGAACTGAGTTTGTTTGGAACTTTGGATGCACGGCTGGGCTGTTGGCTGAGGCGACCATGCGGGGTTCCGCCGTTGCTGCGCGCCTGTGAAGACCTCGAGTCCATCAAACTTGCCGGTTTGCACACGCGAGGTACAGCAAAGAGCCAAAGACAGACTTGGCTGAGTAATCCCTTCAACGGGTGCTTCTTGGGCCTTCTAAGATACTCAACCTACATCGTTGGTTTCTTGGGCCACTTAAGTCACTACCCAAATTCAGGTCCACTTCTATAGTTTTGCTGTAAGGCCATGTTAAAGGTGTAAAGCCCATTTCCGGTCTGCCCCATGTCCTTGTCGTACGATCAACGGCCAATCAAGGCAGAGCACTACCCAGTTATCTTGTCAATGTCAAGCGCCGCGGCCCTTGTTGCCACAAAGTGGTCGGGGCACATGATTTTCTCCTAATGTAGATTTTGGGAACGAGCAGAAGGCCTACAATGACTCAACAACTCTAGAAACGTCCTATGAAAAAGACATGTGACACACTTCACGAAAATAACTTATTAATGCTTTACCAATCCATTTTTCAAATGTTCAAAAATCAAATCTTTGTATGAACTGGTAGCCTTGTACTACACACAAGTTATCTGTCCAACACATATAGCTTTATTTCTATGTCTGCAAATCTGATCTCAAGGTCAAAAACCTTAATAGCAACTTCTATTTTAGCTTAACTTCCCTTTGTATACTGAACCATAGCTTCCTCTTCCAATTAGGTTGGACTTTGAAAAGCTCCCTATAGCTTGCTCTAGATCCTTGTAAGAAACTCTAGGGAATTTCTTGCCAAAAGAAAGAAAAATTAAGTGTTGACTTCTTGGCGTCTTCTTCTCGTGCATTTGAACAGTATGAGTGAGATGGAGCCAAATACTGGTACTAGTATTTTGACCATATAGTTTATGATTTCTTCTTCTCTTCTATAAACAACATGGCATGAAGGCATATGCAAATTTGTGGCTCCTCCACAGAGTCCTAGGTTGCCATCAAGTGAAACAATTGTAGCATTATCGAACACACCATTTTCTGGTATTTCTCCTTGGAAATTGTTGTAAGATAGGTCTAGTTTTGTTAGAGACTTCAGATCATTTAGATAAACTGGAATGGGACCTGATAAATTGTTGTGGGAAAGATTGAGCATGCTCAATCTCTTTAGATTATTGAAAGTAATCGGAACATTTCCTGTAAGAACATTTTGGTCCAACTGAATCATATATATCTGTTGGAATTGGCCCATTGTTTTAGGAATTTCCCCACTGAATCTATTGAATGAAAGATCTAGTGTGGTGAGTTGTCTAAAGTTACCAAACTCGATAGTTTTGCTCCCTTGGAAAGTGTTATAGCTGAGGTTCAACAGTAACATTTGTTTGAGGTTTCCCAAGGTAGGTGGTACAAACACGGTGAATTGATTTTCAGAAAGAAAGAAATATATCAACTGTGTAAGATGGCCAATAGAAGGTGGAATTGTCCCATTGAACCTGTTCGATTGGAGATTTAAACAATGTAGTTTTGTCATGTTTCCGACCCATTCTTCAATTGTACCGGTAAGATTGTTGTGATCTAGCGATAGTTGAATCAAGGTGCTAAATTTTCCAGTACTTGGGGGAACTATACCTGATAGGCTGTTTCCACCCATTAGTAGACGTGTAAGATTTGTGGATAGGTTTCCAATTGAATTTGGTATGGCTCCCTGTAGTGTATTATTAGATAATTCTAAACAGTTAGATAGCTACACTTTCCTAGGGCGTGCAGGAATTCCCAACCCTCATTGTCTGCTGATTGAAGCATGTTGTAACCAAGGTTAAGATAATTCAGCTGTGAAAGGTTTCCAAAAGAGCTTGGGATTTGGCCACTGAAATAATTTTCTGATAGATCAATGTCTCCTAGACTTGGAGGGTTTCCTAGGGAAGCTGGAATGTGACCTTCAAAATAGTTGTCTGCCAACAATAGAGTCGTGAGATTAGGTAGTGCATCGCCAATATTAGATGACAATGTGTTACCTAGCATATTGGATGTCAAGGTTAATTCCTGAAGAGAAGATACATTAGACAGAATTTCTGGGATTCTACCCGACAGGTTATTTAGGTCTAGATATAAACCCGATATCTTTGGCATTTGCCAAACCTCAGGAATTTCACCTGATAGTTTATTTTGCACTGGGGATAATATCTGTAGTTGTGGCATTTCCATAACCTCATGGGGAATGCTTCCAGTGAGTTGATTTTGTGAAAAACTGACTGCTCGTAGATTGGTCATGTTCCCGAGGGCTGCTGGGATGCCCCAGTGAGATAATTACTGTCAAGGTAAAATTTTGCTAGATTGGTAAGAGAACCTATTGTAGGAGGAATAACACTGGTTAGCTTGTTTGTAGAGAGATCCAGATATGCTAGGTTGGAACAGTTTGTGAGTGCGTTAGGAATGGGGCCATAGAAGCTGTTACTCGATACATCAAGCGTATGAAGGAAGGCCAGCTTTCCAAGAGAGGAAGAGATATTGCCAGCTAAGTTTTTGCTGGAGAGTTTGATTTCCGTGACATGATATGGTCGGTTGGAACTGCAGTTCACACCGTACCATCGACAGAAGTGGGTGTCGGGGTTCCAATTCTTCAAGACTCCTTTTGGATCGGTGATGCCCTGCTTGAATTCGACCAATGCCTAAAAATCTTCGCTGTTCTCGTGAACAGTACATTGCCCGCTTCATAACACAGTAGAAGCAACGGCAGAGCTATAAGCATGGCGAGTTTCGCCGGCTGTTTGGGCTGCCCCATTAGGCACTTAATATAATTGATGACACCTGCAAAAAAGGAAATATAAACCTCACGGCGTGTTACTAGAGCAACAACTACGTTGCGTTCATGCGATGATTAGAGTTATGCACAAGCTTACAATTTCCTATCAAATTCTCGTACACCGTGCAAAGTGTCCTTGAATTTAAGGTCTCCAGTAATTTTCTAAATAGCTAGTCTAGGAAGAACTCTATGGACTATGAAGGAGAGAGATTAAATAGTTAACGACTCTCAAATAGTTAGTCGAGCATGATTTTCCAGAAACAATTCTTTCGGTGTTTTTTTATTATTTTTAGTCTGGTCTAGCTAGCTATTCGTTAGAACGCCCTAAGAGAAGTTTTTGTTTGTTTTGTTTTTCAGAAACATAGGACGGGCTCCCACGAGTGTTGCAGCAATTATACCAAGCACTAATGAAATAGAGAAAGAGGGGTACCTCTGCTCTGCCGGCAGTCCTTCAGATGATCTGCTTCGTTTCACTTGGTAGTGGGTGTTTGAACTGTGAAGTCTGGTTGGGTGCACTGTGACGCCTTATCTAGCTTTACCGCCATCGCCGGGAAGACTCTTTGGGTCCGTCAATCTCGACAGTTACTACTAGTACTACTTTTCACCTTCCACCTCGCTCTCGTCCGTCGCTGCAGTCGCAGTCTGAATGGGACAAAGATTGTCAAGGCGTTTCCTGCCTCGAATCCAAAGAATACTACTTTTCTGCTGGGAACGGACAGAGATATTCCGTGTAGACGTGCGACCTGCCTCGTGCGGTTCCAGTACTGACAAAAAATAGTTCGTGGAATGTTATAAGGTTGCTGGATTTTCCTTTCCAAACTGGATTTGGTTCCTTCTGATGCTTAATCTTCCTGAATGTATTGTGTGGGCATGATTCGTTTATGGGTTATTTTTTACAGGGTACGGGTCAAGTCAACTAGTTTATACTCGATCAGGACAGAAGAGTGTTTTGTAATGCCGTTCCTAACACGGTCTTTGCAAAATGGTATTCGGCGGAAATGGAGAAATATCAGCAACCAGATCTTATGAGTGTTGAAATGTGCGGTCCCTTTTCTATAAAAAAAAATGGGTCATTTGAGCACGAGATAAATATAAATAGTCTCTAAAGAATCAATATACAATTTTTTTTATCTTACTACTTCCTTTGTCTTTGAATAAATAGATTTCTAGTAAAGCTTAGGATAAATTAGCATGACAGAGAAAATAAATAAATTTTAGGGTACTTGAAAATAATCAGAGCCCTTTATTCAACTAGATCTAATGGTTAAGAATTAGAAAGAACCAATTTAAAGGAATTAAGTTGTGGTCAGGAACTAAATATTAGTGGGTTAGAAACAACAACAAATATTTTGAAAGGTTAGTTATTTCAAGATTCAGGGACTTTTTTCAAGTCCTCCCACGAACGTCTCAATCTACATTGCGTCCTACCCGTGGTCCAACGACGGAGCTACCCTAGGGGCGTGGTGGGGCGGCCGCCCCAGCTACCGGCGGCGTAGCCTCAGACCCCCGGACCCCCTCTTCTTGCCTATCTCTGGCTGCCGAGGTCTCGAGGACGCTACCGGCCGGCGGCGGCGCGGCACCGAGCCTCTGTGCGAATGTGCGATGGCGACGAGGATGCTACAAGCATCACTAGGCCTTTTTTTTGTCAGCCCAGTAAGGGCCCAATCGGCAATGTGAGCCAGCATCTCATCCATGGATCGCTCAATGCCTCGATCCCCAATTCCCCAATCGCACTGTAAGACAGCATCGAGCGCTCGAGGTCGCCGTTCCCTGTCCGCATTGAGCGCAGCTGCCGCTGCTCCACATCGAGCGCTCGAGGTCACCGCCGCCCGCCGCCAGGCGCTACCCCATCTGCTGCCCGGCCACTCGGCGCCCATCCGCCCGCCAGCCGCCGCCCATCTGCCCGTCGGCCGCCGCCCATCCGCCCGCCGGCCGCCGCCAGGTGCCCAGGTGCTGAGGTGCGCCCGTTGCCCGCCGAGCAGGAGCAGGAGCTGGCTGCGCCTGGCAATGGAGGGAGGAGGAGAGGAGGAGCAGGAACTGGCGCCAGGTACTGGGGCCGCCCGTGGCCGCGGACAGGTTAGCAGCAGAGGAGCAAGGGCAGCAGCTCAGCCAACATCTGGATTAGTTTAAGAAATGAAGGCTGGGAGCAATTATTGGAAGAGGTCAAATCATTTTGTGTTGCAAAAGAAATTCCAATACCAAATATGGAAGAGACAATACCAATTACCAAGATGGGGTACATCAAGGCTTGATGGCAACTTAATCACTCAAGAGCATCATTACCGTGTTGATACTTTCCTTGCTGTACTTGATGCTATAATCATGGAGATGGATCATCGCTTCAATGAGGTATCATCTGAGTTGCTTGTTTCATTTGCTTGTCTTGATCCAAGAGACAACTTTGCTAGATTTGATGTTGAAAAGATTGCTCGGCTAACGGATATCTATGATCAAGATTTCTCTATTGTTGATCGTGATAGTATAAGGGATCAACTTGAGACATTTATTGTTCATGTGAAAAGAATTGATGATTTCAAATCTTGTCATGACCTTGGACGCTTGGCTACAGAAATGGTTGCAACTAAGAAACATATCACTTTTCCATTGATCTATCGCATCATTGAGTTAGCATTGATCCTACCTGTGGCAACATCTTTAGTTGAAAGAGCCTTCTCAGCTATGCACTTAATCAAGACAGCTTTGCGGAACAAGATGGGTGATGAATGGCTCAATAACTTGTTAGTGTGCTACGTTGAGAAAGGGATCTTCAAGGAACTTGGTATTGATAAAGTTAAGAAGAGGTTTCAATCTATGAAAACCCGAAGAGTGAGCTTGCCAAAGAGCCCTCGACGTCATCAACATTCTTAGTCCTTCACCACTAGTAAGTATTTTCTCATAATGTCCGCTATTGCTTGAGGGCTACCATCATTTTATTGTTACTCGCTAAGACACTAATTGATATTCATTCAATCTACAGGTTCATCCATTCTTAGACATTTGTAATTTGAAATGTATGGATCAACTAATCAAGAACTACTAGTTTATTCTTCAAATTTGAGGTAACAGCTTGTATTTCTCGTCTACTTTTCGCCGTAATGTGTGATTGCAGCGTTTTTGCCATGATTTGTGTTATTGTAGTATGTGAATGCGGCGCGTTGTGAATACGATGCCTTTTTGGTTCATCTCCTCGTTGAAATTCGCCCCACCTATATTTTTTTCCTGGCTCCGTCATTGGTCCCCACATCTTTTCTGGTCCTCATGCGGCCACGCACACGGTCTGCACCGTGTGAAGGCTTTGCCTCTTTCCTGGTCCCCGCGTGAGGTTTTGGCTTTTTCGTGGTCTCCACGTGAAATCCTTCCATCCACGTACAACATAGTAAAGTGCTGCATGTCTTTATTTTTAAGGATACATGTCGCTAGTTATGTGTGCATGTGCGTATGCATGCATATTAAAATAAAAATTAATTTGTGTGTTCCGCACCGGCGACCTCCGTGTCCATGTCGGTGCTGAGCTCCGTATGTTTTATACGTTTCAAATGTATGTTTCATATGGATGTTGTATGTGTTTTATTAGGATGTTGCAAAAGTAGATTTGGTGTTGCATATATTGTAATGCTATACAATATGTTGCAGTATATATTCCTAATATTTTAGATATTTCAGACGTATGTTACATGTATTTTATTTAGATATTACATATATTACCGTGGCTATATACATATGTTGTAAAAATATATTTTAAATATTTTATCTGTTTTTAGACATACGGGTTGCAGCAAGTGTTTCGTGTTACCATTATTTCATGAGTCGGAAAGCGCTCGGAAAGCTAGCGCAGGTGCAGCGGTCCCCGCAGGTGCAGTGCTAAACAAATTATAGGATAGCGGAGGGTTCAAGAAAAGGCGCAGCAGCGTACAGGGGCGTCCGAACACGCGTCTGGATCCGGACGTCCGGGGCTAGCCTGACCCGTAATCCTGGGAACGAACACCAACGATTCGGGATCCACCGCCTTCCATTAGGCAGCGGCGGTGGCCGACGATTGAGGGGATGATGCCGACGGATCACGACTCGACACCGGCAATGATGTTCTGTCGCTGCCTAGGCTTTGCTCTGTTCGTTCGTTGTTCGGTTGTCGCAAGATGCGCTAGGGTCGTCGGAGTCGGATACTGCCGGGGTGCACAACGGAGATCGCGGGCACGCATCCGGCGGCGGGCTCCGGGCTGGCAAGCGACGGTGACAACTATGGGCAGGCGAGCGGGGTCTACGACAAGGCGTCACGCTTCTGAAAGCGGGCACCGGGAAGGCAAGCGACGACGACTTTGGCCAGGTGAGCGACGACGGGTTACGGGCAGGCATGCGCCGGTGATGGAGCAAGGAAAGTTAGATCGGTTGTTTGACGAGAAGAAAACGATTGCTTTATTAGATTTGAGTTAATGACTGAAATCAAAGTACTAAAATACCCATAATTATAAATAAATAATTTTTTGATCAACGGCTCATAATAACTCTGCCTGGACGAACACGTCGGAAAGCTTCGGGTCCGAACGGCAGGACCCGAGCATCACGCTGAACAGGAGCGTGGGAGCCTCGTATCATGCGGGCGGGAGTTTTTTTTATTCTTCTTATTTATTTTCTTTTTCTTCTTTTTTCTTTTCGTGCTTTATTTTTATATTACTTTTTTGTTTATGTGATTTTTATTATTCTTTTAATTTTTCATTTTTATGTTTGTTTTATTTCTTTTTTCTTTTCTTCCCTTTTCTTATTTTTCTTTTCTTCAATTTTTATTTTTATTTATTTTTCGTTTCATGTGATTTTTCATTATTATTTTCATTTTTTATTCTTCTTATTTATTTTCTTTTCTCTTCTTTTCTTTTTCTTCTTTTTTCTTTTCGTGCTTTATTTTTTATATTTCTTTTTTGTTTATGTGATTTTTTATTATTCTTTTAATTTTTTTAATTTTTATGTTTGTTTTATTTCTTTTTTATTTTCTTCCCTTTTCTTATTTTTCTTTTCTTAATTTTTATTTTTATTTTTTTTGTTTCATGTGATTTTTCATTATTCTTTTCATTTTTTATATTTTTATTATTTCTTTCTTTTTTGTTTTTACTATAATTAATTATTATGTTTTTTTGAAAGGAGTTTTACTCGGCTTTTAAGAAAGCTAATAACAAGGTCTTACACAGTGGGGTTACCAGTTTCAAAGCAAGAAAAAGAAAAGCTCCCACCATGGAGACAGTACGGTGTTACAGCCTAAGATAAAAAGCAAGACAGCAAGCCTACAGGCAGCACTCCTACATAACAGCGATATATGAATATGGTCCATTGAAAACGTCCTTCTTATGCATCCAGTCCGATAGACGCTGGGCCATGTCCTTCATCCTGGCAGCATCGCCTTCCTTGCTTAAGCCTGCCCAGATCTGCACGAAATTTATAGCTGCATGGATTACTGCATCTGGGTTTAAAGGAAAAAGCTTCTCAATTGGCATGTTGTTTCTATTCCTCCAAATTGCCCAGGCTAAACCTGCAAAGAAAGCAAAACATATTTTCTTAGGAATCCCCAGCCGCCTTGGCATCCATTGGGAAACCAATTCCTGAATGGATACAGGGTAGTTTTGCAGGCCAAAAGCATCTCTGATGCAACACCATATATATTGAGTAAACACACATTCAAAAAATATGTGATTGATAGTTTCAGGCAGATTACAAACACAGTAGAGAGGGCTACCATGCCAACCTCTTTTTTTTAGAGCTACAGCAGTTTGTAATTTGTTATGAAAGATTTGCCATAAAAACACTTTGACTTTGAGGGGGATTTTGCTTTTCCAGATAGTATCGTTTAGTTTGCCCCCCCCCCTGGGTGAGACAATTGTATAATGATCTAGTCGAAAAGATCTGAGACTTCTCCAGAGCCCATCTCACTTGATCATTGTCGTCATTATTGAACTGAAACCTCTGCAGATCATCCTGCAATTCATTCCATTCTGAAATCAGATCACCAAATAGACATCTTCGCAGAGGAATGTTCCACTCCCCGTTTCGTCAGCAATCCCTCACCATAATCTCCGGCTTTTGACATATGGCAAATATATTACTATACCGTATTTTCAGAGGTATCCCCCAAACCAGGAATCATGCCAGAAGCTAACTTTATCTCCTTTCTTTACATTATACTCAGCTCCCCATTTGAAAAGGTGCTTCACCTTATGAAGGCCTTTCCAAAACTGAGATGAGCCTAAGTGTTTTGAACCAAAGAAACTATTCCTTCTCATATATTTAGCTTTCAATAATTTGTACCACATCTCATTTGAACCCCTCTCAATTTTCCAAATCCATTTTGTGATGAGGCACTGGTTCATCATATAAGTGTTGATAATCCCTAGCCCCCCATGGGCCTTAGGTTTACACATGGAAATCCATTTTGCCATATGGTATTTAAATGCATCTCCAGCACCTTGCCAGAAGAACTTAGCTCTGATGGAGTCCATCTTTCCATGAACCCCTTTAGGCAACATGTAGAAGCCCATCTAACCCTGTCATATGCCTTTTCAAAGTCTATTTTGAAAATCATTCCTTTCTATTTACCTTTGCTCAATGAGTGTATAACTTCATGAAGAATAACAGCCCCTTCTAGGATACTTCTACCCTTAATAAAGCCAGTCTGATTCTCCCCAATCACTGCCTTAGCCACTGGGGTTAATCTCTCAGTAAGCACCTTTGTAAACCCTTTATAATCCACATTCAGAAGGCAAATAGGCCTATATTGCCTGGTATTGTTGGCCTCCTGAACCTTTGGAACTAAAGTTATCACCCCAAAGTTAATTCTCTTGATATCTAGCTCACCCTTATAGAAATCCAGAAATATGTTACAATATCTTACTTTTATTAAATCTCAAAAAGTTTGGAAGAAAGTTGCCCCAAATCCATTAGGGCCTGGAGCCGCATCCTTTTTCATGTCAAAAATTGACTGTTTAATTTCCTTTACTGTAAACAACTTAATCAAATTCTCCCTGTCCTTTGCATTCACCTTTCTATTGCTTTCCCAAAAGTTATTGCTCAGGAAGATATTTCTAGAGTCAACTGGGCCAAATAGCTCTTTGTAAAATTGAACCACATGCTTCATAATAGCATCTTTCTCTGTGATCATCCTGATCAGTCTCCATTTGAATGATAGTCCCTTTTCTTCTTCTACCATTAGCAAACTGATGAAAAAACTCACCCAATTTTAAGAACAAAACCAGGCTCGCTATATGTGTGCCCAGAAAGTCTACACATACAACAACAGAGTGAATAGTATCAAAAACAATGTTATTAAATAATGTATACATAGCTATATTAACACTTATATCAGAGTATCGCGGAACGGTAACTAATCTTTAGGCTCCATTCTTCACTGGGACGATTGACTGGGGGTATCATACGCCTAGCACTTTTGTCAGTCTTTTGAGAACTCCATGTCTTCAACAACCATCTGAGCAACCTTCGCTAGAGACTGGTGGTGAGGAAAAATAGCAAGGGTGAGCACATGTCAACTCAAAAGGCTAGACACGGTTGAACTGCAGTAGGCATTTTTAGTTAACATTAAAGCCTGAGTTGCTAAGTTATGCTTAAGCTCCAATTCCCGTATGATCATAAGTAATGGCAATAATACAATAATGATTAAACATGAGCATCAACACCATAGAATAACAATAAGGACCAATAATTCCATTAGTTTTCCAAGCCGCTCGTGACCATGAGCACGGTTGTTATAACAGTTTTACACTCTGCAGAGGTTGTACACTTTCACCATGAGCCGTGATTTACCCTTTCGCCTAAGGTAACTAATCTCTTGACCCACTACCAAGGAAGATCGGTAGAGTTCACTATGAAGT